TGATTGAGGATTATGGAGAGGTAACCTAATACTATGCAGGAATCCTGTGTTTTCTTGTATTTTGTTAGTAACCTGTATTTCCAGAGGTACAGGGTTTTGGGGCTGATCTGAGGTTTGAAGTATAGTATATGAAATGGGGCTGATCTGACGTCTGCAGTGGATGGAGTGGGGCTGATCTGAGGTCTGAAGTGTATGGATTGAGGCGGATCTGACTTCTGATGTGTATGGTTAAGGGCTGATCTGAGGTCTGCAGTGTATGGATAAAGACTGATCTGAGGCCTGAAAAGTGTGGATTGGGGATGATCTGAGGGCTAAAGTTTGTGGATTGGGGCTCATTTGAGGTCTGAATTGTATGGATTGGGGCTGATCTGAGTTCTTAAGTGTATAAATTGAGACAGATCTGATGAAGCTGAGGTGATTTTTGATTTGTTGCTGTGAGTTAAAATGCTCTATGTCCATGTTTCCTAGCATGGTCATGTTCACAATGTTTCTTTTTTATAAGCTAGTTTTTAAACTTGGTGCAGATGCTCCAGTATAATTTAAGACTGACCAAATCATTTTAAACACCAATTAACAAATTACTTCTCTAGAGATGAGTAATTTGCTGTTTAATTTTAGAGGCAGAGCAGGGTCTGGTTTCAATGCTCAAGGCTAAGATATGCAGGGAAAGACAACTGCATACCCTGCATGGTACTAATTAGAGGGTATTTTGAAGAAAACAAAAACAAAATACCAGCTTTGTTTAGAGGTAGCTTTTAAGTAAAAAATTATTACAGGAGCAAGCAAATTAGTCCAAATTATTTTATGATATTTTCATTAAATATAGCAGTAAACACAGAATTTATGTATTAATACGATGCTATACGATGAAGCCTACAGCTATGTTTTTTCAGAACAGCCTTGCGGATAAACTAGTAGCACGGGATTTAATGTGTCACTCTTGAGCTAATTAGTGTATTTGTTGGAACATCTATTAAAATTGTGTCTATTTTTTGCATTTTTATTTTTCAAAAAAATATATAGTGTATTTCTGATGAGCATATATTTTAAAATGTTTTTGCAATGTTATCCATAGAACATTTTTTTTATAAGTTTAAAATGTTTACGTGCTTGCATAAATATCTTTTATTCCAAATAAAGAAATTTGGATATTACCACTATACATAAAGGAACTCACTGCTGTTCGACATCTATAAAAATAGACCGAACAGCTGTGAGTAACTTGCCGGAGGTTCGGCTTAGTCGATATAGTGAATAGCCGAACAGCATTCGGGTCACTTGGCTTCAGGTCGGTCGTTCACTCGGCTGCCTGCAGAAGCTTAGTGAATAGACCCCTAAGTGCCCTCCCTTTTCACTAAACACTAAGCACCCTCCCTTTTCACTAACACTAACCGCACTCCCTATTCACTAACACTAACTGCCCCTCATCTATCCACTAGCACATTTAAGCCTGTACAGGCTCATAGGTGAGCTAGGTGGGCTGTGGGCTCTGTGCAGGCTGTGTGCGGGCTCTCCCTCCCCACCCCTATATTTGGGCTGCTAAAACACTTACCTTACAACTCATGCGACTTTGCTCCCCTCCCTGATCGCTCTTTGGTAAAGCCTGCTTCAGACCAAGCTCCACCTCCTGAAAACCCCCCTTCCTGCATGTACAGGAATGTACCAAGTTACAAGCGAATGGTGGCCGTGACCGTACCATGTGCTGTATTGCACTTATTACTAGGGATGGTCCGCCTGTTCGAATCGAATATCGGCTGATCGTGCGTTCGCCGAACTTTATGGGATGTTTGCAGTCTGTTCGTCCGCGCAAAGTACCATAAATTAGGCAAAGCGCCCTCCGAAGCTCTAATTGGTTAAAGTCTTGCAGCTGACCACAGGTTAGGTGCAAGACTTTGCCCAATCAGGGCTCAGTACTCATTTGGAGCCATGATTGAGCAAAGTTATGATGACTCTGCCCAATCATGTCTCGTCTATCAGATGATGGCAAACTACACAATTGGGCGGAGCTAGCTTCTAACTCCGCCCAATTTTTTGTTTTGCCATTTACAACAACTGGGCGGAGCCAGCCATGACATTACGACTCGATCCGCACAGCTGTTGTAATTTACGGGGACAGCGGTTGGCTTTGGCCAACCTTTCTCCTCACTTTGGCTGTCACTACGGCTCAGCCGAGCCGAAGCATATGCGTTTGGCTCGGCTGCTGTAAGGGCTATTATGAATACCCTGTACAGCAGCCCTTCTGTTCGGCTATATCCTTAAGCAGGTAAGTGAATAACCCTCTAAAATTAATGAGCAGTGAAGTCTTTTACAGCATCATCTATGGGAAATTTTGGGTACAATAGTTTTTTGCCATTTAAATGTTTAACATGTTTGGTGTTTACCCAATACAACCCCATCTTTTATTTTTTTTGCAAAATTGGGTATTATACTGTGTTTGTGTGCACTAAAATTCTTGTCCTAAAACTATCAATTTCATAGACAAATATTGTCTGACATAAACAAATTTAACTAGCACTTTTTTTTATTCTACAGGGCCTTTGCTGATAGAAAATATATAATTGTTTGCGGTTTAAGCAGTTTTCGAGGCAATTTTTTTTACATGTGTGGTTAAAGAAACTATGCCATAAAAGATGTCTGTGTATTCCTGCTATAGGTTATAATAGTCTGTGTTTACGGTTGTATGTCAGGCCCTTCTGATAAGCAAAGCTTGATAATTCTAAGTAATGTGGGACCTTGCTGCTGCCTCTCCTTCATTCCTCATCACTATGATGGAATTCCTTACTGGTCAATTGTAAAGAGCAAGAGTCAAGAAAGGATGAGATTCCTAATGGAAAAGAAGCTTTGCCTTGCAGGACAGTCTGGGATTCAGCCATAAAAAAGTTTTAGAGACTGCCGGAGTTATATGTGCCTCTAAGTGTTTTAATGATAAATTATCTTTAAAATCTATGAGGGCATAATGGAGGATATAGATGGCAGAAGAGCTTGTAATCTGTGAGGGTGTAAAGGAGGTGAATAGAAAGTAGGAGAGCTTACAATCCAATAGGGAGAGATAAGGAAACTGGAAGACTATACAGTCTATTATAATATAAGGTAAGGGTACAGAAGATGTAAGAACTTGATTTTCTTATGCGAGAGTTCTGCAGACTTTAGAAGAGCTTACAGTCAGTTAGGGAGGGATTCAGAAGGTGGAAGAGCGTAGTGCCTTTAAAGCATAAGGTAAGCTGCATAAGGTGGAGGGGATTATTACCTATTAGGATATACAGTAAGTAAGAGATATAGTATTCTAGTTTGACATAATGAGCAGATTCAGAAGGTAACAGAGCTTACAATCTAGTAGGATAATATGGATTAATACAGTTAAACTAGGTGCTGGCAGTGTATGTGGGTGGGGAATGTAATAGTTTTAACAGGCCTAATGGGTCTGTTAAGGTCATATGCAACTGAGCATTGTCTAGGGAAAATTCTATTGGGGAATAAGTAGAGCATATTATATTGAGTTGGTATATAAGGCAGAAATAAAAAAGATGGAGAAGCCAGCACACGCAGTAAGTGGTTTGTGAGGTTGAATGTAACTATCCTGCTCTAAAGACACAACAATCAGTGAGAGAAATTATCCAAATTGAGGGGAAATCCACTCTGACAATGTTTTGTTAAACTGAACAGCTTTAGAAACATCTTAAAGTGAAGAGGAAGTGTTACATCTGCAGTGCCGCATTCTAAAGGACCTTTCCAAAGCACCAAGAAAAAACTTTTGCTCGTACTTGTTACCCTGTGCTCATTAACATTTTACATGTGCCACCAGCTCATACCATGAGCTTTGGCAATAGCATATTATAGCGTTCAACTATCTACCATTTATCAAAAGCTTGGTGGATATATAAACAAATGATTCTTTAACTGTATTCTATCTTTTTGATTGTTTAAAAAAAACAAAAAACCTAGTGATGCCACCATGAAGGCCTTTGCTTAGGAGCTTCCTGTTCTGTGGTGTCACCTGTGTCCCAAATGTGCTTGTGTGTTGTCATCTTGTTACATAGACCCCTGGTTGAGACTACAAGTGGCCGTACGGACATGGTCCTCTGATGTCATTATCAGGTAATCATTCAAGAGCAGTAATATGTAGCCAATGCTAGAGCGGGTGCATGATGACAGGATGTGGCTAAAAAAGGTTCAAGGACATCAACAGAGCTAAGATGCAAAAAAAACAAAGTAAAACTACAGTCTATGTTTTGAGGAACAAAGTGGCAATTGTTTATAATATACTACTTTAGCAAACAACATTTTTGTTCTTTGCTCTGATTTAAATTGTATTTCATATTAAAACATGTTTCATAGTTCTGGATAGAAATGGAAAGGATTACAAGTCCTGACAGGTTTATTGGTACCCAAGACTCCTTTAGAGAGATTTACCTGCACTTATTTACTGCTGATAATGGTTTTACCAGACAGGAAGTGAGGGAAAATCTGGCACAGACAGGAATAAAAATATGACAGCCTTAACCTATTCACCTAAGAAAAGCATTTAATTTCTGTCTGCATTGCTGTTGGAGAGTTCTCCTTACTTCTACTGTCTTAAAAAGGGCTGTTAGCAGGACAGGAGGCAAGGGCAAATTTCTTTATTGGAGTCCCGGATAGCAATAAAAACCTGACAAGGGCTCTAAACCTGACTGACTCTATCCAAAATTTAGAAAAAACGTTTTGGATGAACATACACTTTAATTTCTAGCAATAAGTTGTGTGCGGCCTTCAGCTCAGATTTTGCTGCAGCTCATAATCTATCAAAATTAACATCAAGCACACATAGCATATGGATATGTAAGCTCACTGATTATTTCTGTCCTGACTCCAGTTTTCTTATTATATAGTATTGTAACTCTATCTTGTTTTAGATGCATAACAGAGATCGATTTTATTGGACCTTCATATTTAATATAAAGTGTCATCTTCTAGGCAGGAAGCAATGACCCATAGGTGCAGATCCTCGTTTCATGTCCACTTACATTGCTCTTGCCACTCCTCTTCTTCATTCTCATTGCGTTGATTTTGCTGCTGAGCTCTCTTTAGACTCAGATATAGTTCTTTTGCTCGTAGCTCTTCCCGTTGGCGAATCTGTTCCTCACCTTTCCTCCTCTCCTCCTCTTCTCTTTTCTAGAATGGTTACAATGAATTACATTAATGCATAAAAATATCATCCTTGTTTAGCAACAGTAAATTTACATCTTCATACAATAACTGTTATTATAGGATGCCACTGATGATTTTAGATAACTTAATACTCATAAAAACATTAAGTCAAAGGTAAGCAGTATTATATTGGCATAAACAGTATAGATGTACATATTTATTGCAAATGTTTTCATCTTTAGAAAATGTTTTTAGTTTGCGGACATGTTGCTTACAGGAACTAGGGATGAGTGAAGCGCTGAACCCAAACATATATAATATATATTATACCATATATATTATATATGTATTAATATTCGTTTTGTAAGAGCACCACCATCTTGCTGTGCCCATACATGCGTATGACGTCACCCGATGCCAGCATTAGGTGACGTCATGCATCTTACCTCCAAGAACGCGCAGAATGCTCCCATTGCCAATATGGCCATTGCACTTTTTTTTTTACTTGTGCACTATTGGATTCCGAGGTTTGAATCCAAAACATAATTATTTGTTTCGTTGAAGGAAACGAATGAAACGTTTTTTCACTTTTTATTCGTTTCGTCCAAATGGAATTTTTATGTTGTGCACATGTCTACTCCACAATGTAAAGTTAGGAACCATCCTCAATGTACATTTAGGTCATTTTGCCAGCAATATAACATCTTGCAGCTGATATAGAAATACATTATCCTAAAGATGGGATATTGGGGTTGAGGTGGTAAGTCAATGTATAGTTGGTTTAAACAACTTAAGCCAGCCACAAGTTTTTAAATTTGCCTAAAATGGGATACCATTGAATTCGCATTTGCTTTGCGAATTTCTGCAGACCTTTTTAAGATTATAGTCCTCTATAGAGAAAACCATGGGCCTATGACATAATCTCCTATCCAGGCCATGTCATCTGCCCTCAGTAAGGCAAAAATCTTGATACTAGATACACTACTAAACTCAGTGATAATGTTTTGTTACTGCGTGTTAACTTAAGCACTAAACATTTAGACGGTGACATGCTTGGAGCAAATTTTGTGCCCACCTTATTGTTGCTGATATGCCTTACCTACTGGCCCAGACCTGCATTGATGAAAGATCGAGCTCAAACAGAAATATAAATTCCTCTCATGGTGTATTATTTCCTCCAAAACTTTATTAAAAGGTTAAAAGCATTAACAGATAAAATCCATGTATGGTCATAAATTCATCTAATAGTACAAACAGCAGCGTTCTGGTTTCAGGAAGCATCTGTCTGCCCGACTCCTCCAAAACATTTCATCATAGGACTTCTTCCAAGAGGTAGCGAGCATACAGACACTTCCTGTCTCTCTCCATTTAATTTCATGGTATAACACTGTGTATACTGGTTGCGGTAACCTTTGCACTGTATAGCAGTAATATGTCAGTGCTGTGTGCTCAGTTCTGTTAACAATCAGGTGCTTTGTAAAGTATCAATAGCATTGCTTTAATCGTGTTTGGAAAATGTGGGGGTGCTAGATCAGGTCACACCAGCCATCTTTCCCAGTGTTTCATACATTTTTATGGACAGCACCTATGTTGATATGTAAGTTTTTCCCTTTCTGTTAATAAAATCTACAGATTGTTTCCATAAAAAAAAAAAATGGGTTGGGTAAGTGATATCCATTATAAGCTACTGTATATGTTTATATATATTGTGTATGTGCACAGTATAGTCTTCCTCAACTACAAGTCCCAGGATATATACTCAAGGGTCATGAGCTAGGTCTGTAGGAAACACACTGTTGATAGTGTTAAGTACATCCCTTCAATACATAAACAGTTTTGGACATTTCCTCGTCATATGTAATTGGGTTTTACTTTGCATCTAGCACACATCACGGTTGCTCTACATGTCCATTGATGCAGCTTTAGGTAGGTTCTGTGTAGAATAAAGATTTGGGTACGTTTTTGTGTAGGGGAGATGGATACTTTAGTTACAATAGGTAGAATATCAGACCATTCTGCATTCAACTATTGTTCCACATTGGTCTCCCAGCCCCTCCTGCATGGTAAACAAACTGCACTTGATAATGCAAGGTTTTTATATATTGTAGAGATAAAGTTCTACTTGTTCTCCATGCTGGCTACATGTGTGAGTAGAGGGGTGTCAGTATAGGGTTAGATTACACTAGTACTGAAAAAAACTCTGTTTTGATATTGCATATTTCTCTTCTAGGGACTGAAATGTTTTAAGAACTCAATTCTACATAGATTATCAGTGTTTCTTTACTAAGAACTGACCCAAGCAACCAATTACATTTAACTTTAACGTTCCAACTGTCAGTTTCCAGTGCAGGTTTGTTTGTGACTGTTGGCTATAGGACAATGCAGTAAGTTCTTTTTTTTATGACACATTGATGTATAAGCCAGGATGTTATGAAGACTTTTCCTATCTTTTGCATACATTAGGGGATTTTAATTTTGTTCTGTGTGTATTATCCTCCCACCATCTACAGATTTAACATATTCAAGACTATTGAAAATGAACTGATGTTTTAGCTTGCCTGCATTTTATGGTAACGTTTTAAAATAATGGAAGGTGCATTACTGAATAGGTAAATTATAACAGGATTCCTGGAAAAGTGCTACTTTAGCAGCACATTAGTTCAACATGATTAACATGGTTATAATGAACACTAAATGAGATTCTAATGATGTGAAGGAGTAAGGAGTCACTGAGAAAGAAAAGGAGAGGGCGGGCAGGCAGTTTTATGAGAATAGTTCATGTGAGCAATAGAATGTGAACTGCATTGTTGAAAAAATAATAATCCAGATATAATGCGGCCTGCAGTACTACACTATTCACTGTCTGATCTTTTCACTAAAGTCTAAAGCCTTATATAACAAAGGGCTGCTCTGCTAGGTCACAGGGTTAACATTTGCTCCATTGGAGGAATGAAATATATTATATACTCTAGTCAAATAATGACATTTTTTGGGCAATGCTTCTTTTATACTGGACAATGTAATAGAGGGGTGATTTGGTGTCAAACAGTTTATAGCAGTGATGTCTATATCCGTCCTTAGATTTTGGGAAGAGATAAAAAGAGTATTAAAAGGTATCTAAGGTAAAACATTAGACTCTTTAGAAATGTTACTGATTTACTCACTGTGCTTCTACCTGTTAACATGTAAAGAACATGACCTGTTAGAGTTACTCATGAAAAAGCTTTGGAAGACTGCAATTTGCTTAAAGTGATTCTGATGTTTGAAAAATCTTCAGTATCCAGGAACGTTGGATTGCTGGTCCCCCGCAGTGTGCTTTGGTTCCTTCCTTTGACCCCCAATTGCATCACACGGTGCTTAGCAGGAGAACAGGCATCCGATAAACTCGAGTGTGCCTAATTGCTAGAGATGTTTCAGCCAGCAGGGCTCTTGAAGACAGCAGATATCAGTGATGGGAGTGGTAAATATTAACTCTTTCTGAAGCGTTATTATTTACCAAGCCATATATTTGTACATTTATAGCCTAGTAAAAAAAATTGGGGGGCATGCAGCACCAGTCATGTAATTTACCTTTAAAAAATTGCATCCCATGTAAATCTGGCTGCTGATTACTTTACAAATCCTCCCTCCAGTGAAGCCAGATCCTTGCTTGCATCGCGCTATACTTCTAGCACTGGGGGGGGGTTAAGATCAGCGGCTAAGACTGTGAAGGACTCCCATCATTTTCCTCTCTCCTCGCTCATTCACAAAACTTCCATTATTTTGCAAGGCATTCTGTGAATGGACAAGGGGAGGGGGGGATTATTTCCCCTCATCTATTTACAGAAGGCCTTGCAAAACAATACAAGGAGTTTTGTGACTAGGTGAGGGGAGACAGAAACCATGGGGGCAGAGGTGAACAATGGGAGTGCTTTACAGTAGTAGCCACTACTCTCAACCCCCGCAGCCCTGAAAGCAGCATCCAGTTCCACTGAACGGAGGATTTTTAAAGTAACCAGCAACTAGCTAAACATGGGGTACACTTCATGAAGGGTAAATTATATGATTGGCACTGTGTGCCCCCCAAAATTTTACTAAACTTCAACCTTAAAAAAGTGTGACTTTAAGCAGTCTAAGTCCTAGGCTCTTAAATTTAGGTGCACATTCAGCCCTGTTGGGCAATCTCAACCCAAGGACACAAACTCTGGCTTCAGCTCTGTTGGGCAATGTTGCAGTGGACCTTCATACGCAGCCCAGCTCACCCTCACACCTGCTGCTACTGTGGACATTCACACCAGGAACCGAGGCTACCATCCCACTTAAAGGAACGGTGGTATTCCCTGGACTCTTCCTCTCTATCTCAGTGGATCCACACACTACAAAAATGCAAGTATCATGCACTGTGGCCAGTGATGAGAGAGTGACTTTATGCTCGCTGAAGATTCTGGGTTGATGACACAGAGTTAGAGGCTATGTTGTGAATACTACTGTCAGTAAAATTTGAATACAGTGATTTAAACTGAAATAGTTTATTTTGTGATTATATGAACTTTAAGTTGGACGCTATCAGCAGTTGAGTTCCATACAGGTGGTTGCCACCCGTTACTACAAATCTTACATATCTTACACTGGGTCTATCCAGAATGGCAGATATGTGTGTCCTAGATTCAGGCTGTATACTGTCTTTTTCTTCTAGGGAAGGGGTAGGCAAACTCTGACCTTCCAGCTGTGGTGAAACTACATATCCCATTAAGCATCTGTTTCTGAAAGTCATGCCTGTGGCTGTGAGAATCTTGCAATGCCTCATGGGATTTATAATTTCACAACAGCTGGAGGGCCAGAGTTTGCCCACCCCTGCTCTAGGGGTAAGTGCTGAGAGTGCTGGAGTGGTAGAGGTAACAAGCCCAGCTGAAGTAAGCTGGCTCTTTAGGGCCTCTAAGAACTCCCAGCCTGCTTACAGAGTTGCCCTGCCTTGGAACCAGTTTGTGTGCCTGAGGGCAGGTTCACACCACAAAGAGTGCATTCCAGAGCGTTTGGCCTATGGA